TTTGCTCTCAGATGAGCTGACTGCCAGTGGCCCCGGCTTGTGTGGGTGTCCTTTAAGACAGGATCTTCCAGTCATTCCAGAGGCATCAGGAATTTTGTTCAAAACTGCATTTTTAAAGAATCTGTTGAAAAACACAGCCGTACAAAAGCATGGTATCCTGGGTGTGAGGCGCTGCTTGCAACAGCTGTCATGTGATCACACCTCAGGAGGCAGCTCCCCTGCAGCCACACGGGGTTTCAAACTTGAGTGATTGATGAGGAAACTTGTAGCTGTGTGTTGATTTTCTCTTTGCAGGTAAGCTGTCCACGTGGAGTGTGAGGCGGAGGATCTTAGCTGAAGGTGTAGAACGGGCACTGGCTCTGAACTGGGGCACTCTGGCCTTGGGCAAGTCAATCTTCCCAAGGTACCTCCCCCACGGGAGACCTGGATCAAGTTCCTGACTCTTGGCTTTTTATCTCTCTCTCTCTCTCTCTGCTTTTCAAATAAAATGGATACCTATCTCTAAATTGAAAGGGGTTTTTATCCATAAAACCAGGGTCACTTCACAGAAGGCATTCAAGTTCTTGAAAGTCTCGCTGGCCATTCCCGTCATGAGGACTTCTGTTTGGCTCTTACTGGGATGGCCTAATAACTGCTGATTCTTTTTTTTAAGATTTATTTTATTTTTATTGGAAAGTCAGACATACAGAGAAGAGGAGAGACAGAGAGAAAGATCTTCCATCCAATGAGTCACTCCCCAAATGAGCGCAACGACCGATGGGTGCTATGCTGATCCTAAGCAGAGAAGAGGAGAGACAGAGAGAAAGATCTTCCATCCAATGAGTCACTCCCCAAATGAGCGCAACGACCGATGGGTGCTATGCTGATCCTAAGCCAGGAACCAGGAACTTCCTTCCAGGTCTCTCATGAGGGTGCAGGGTCCCAAAGCTTTTGCTTTCCCAGGCCACAAGCAGAGAGCTGGATGGGAAGTGAAACTACCGGGATTAGAACCGGCGCCCATATGGGATTCCTGCATATTCAAGGCGAGGACTTTAGCTGCTAGGCTACAGTGCCGCCAGGCCCAACTACTGATTCTTACTCTCTGTATCTACCCAACCTTTCAAGACCCCTGCCACCTTCTTACCCTCCTTTATAAGGCAGCTTGTCATGGCCACTGTGAACCACCAAGACAAGCAGCTTTGTAGTAGGAAAAGGTGTAACTGGGCTCATGGTTCTGACGGTTCACAGCCCAAGGTCAGGTGGTTTCACAACTCCTTGGGATAGGAGGGGCTTCTCACTGGAGGAACACCACAGGGATTCTGGGGGTAGGGGCCATCACATGCCTTGTGTCTGTCCTGTCACAGTGGCTCCCTCTTGGGGGCTCTCTTTATCTGCCTTCCTTCCCACCCCGCTCCTCCACTAGGATCACTTCCCAAAGGCCCTTCTGAAAATCTCAGGGCTGCACTAACCGAGCCCACAACACATGGCATCTTTGGGAGACACCCAGTTGCAGTACCCATCTTTTCAAGTCCTCTTGGGCAGCCCCCCGAGTACTAGGCCTCGGCTCAGCCCTTGGCGCATGGCGTGATGCTGGGGTGCTTTCCTTCACACAGAGCCCTCAGCCCCAGTACAGCCCTCAGTCCTCAGGTCTGGCAGCTCTTTCCCAGTTTTCTTGAACTTGACCCACTTTCTTGGGGCAGGTGCTCTCTTTTCACCAGTGTCTGTGGGCAAAAGGAAGTGGCATGCAGCTTCCACACAAATTCTACCACCTTCTTCTGCAAGAGGCAAAGCTGCCTTCCGGGTGGCTTTTTACAGGGGTGGGATAGGAGCATATTATATGAAATTGTAAGTTCATTCTAACATGATGCTGCGCATAAGTGCATTTATGTACAGGAGTGCTATGCTGGAGCTCACTCAAAATACAAAATTTAGAGCTATGGCATTCAAAAACTTTTTCTTTAAGACTTATTTGAAAGGCAGAGAGAGAATATCTCATCCACTTGCTCACTCCTCTAATGGCTCGGAAAACGTGGGGTGGGCCAAGCTGACATGGGGAGCCAGGAACAACATATCAGGGTCTCCCATGTGGGTGCAAGGACCCAAGCACTTGGGTCATCCTCTGCTGCTCTCTGAGGTGCATCAGCAGGGAGTAGGATGTGAAGTGCAGTCGCTGGGACTTGAACTGGTGTTGCTAGGAGAAGCCATTGCTTGCAGGCAGGGCTTAACCCTTTAAAAACGCGAAATATGTGCTACAGATGCAGGCTTTCTAGTCACCACAAGTAACTCACAACAGTCAACTTATCAGAAGCGTTAATGGGTGATGATATTATAAGTACAAGCTAATTACAGGGCAATAATAGCAGATCTAGGTATTTTCCCTCAAAGTAAGATTTATCAATTGCTTTGGATGAATGTATTGATATTTCCATTACAAATGCTATACAAAGAATCCCCCCCCACCCAAAAGTCTGAAACCACAGTTACCTCTCCATATCCGTGGGGGCATCCAATTTCCGGTGGAAGATAGGTAGTTGGGACTATATGGGACACGGGAGGGCAACAGAGCCCAGGTATGATCTAGTGTTAGGGATCATGACTGCCCTAGGATGACAAGATACACAGCAGGATGTTCTTAGCGGATATGGAAATACTACGTCTTTTCACATAAGGGCTGAGCATCCTTGGGTTTGGGGTATGGTGAGTGGAGAGAACTAATTCTCCCAGGGAACCTGAGTGTGACTCTTTCCTTCACATCAATGTAAAGAACTGAACTTTGCACAATGCTCATGGCTGAGCTCCCTCCCTGCCCTGAAAAAAGCATCAATCTACATGAACTTCAGTATATAGTAGCAATGAGTATTAATTACAAAATTATATATTATATTCTCACATTTTGCAAACCTGCCTCTTCAGAAATAAACCGAGGGGTTTGGCACAGCAGTTAAAGACATCTTCTGGTAAACCCACATCCTGTATCAGTCGGAGTGTTTGGTTTAAATCCAGGCTCCAGTCCTGAGTCCAGCTCCCTGCTGTTGCACCCTGGGAGGTGGCACAGTGTGGGTCCTTGCCACCAACGTGGATGACCCAGATTGAGTTCACGTACCTGGCTTTGGCTTGCCCAGTCCTAAATGTTGCGGTCATTTGGGGAGTGAACCAATGAATGGAAGCTCCCCCTCTGTGTCTGTACCTCCAAATAAAATTTAAAAAATTTTTTTTTAAATTTTTTTTTAAAGAAAGAAACTTATAGGAAATAAGTCTATTTTAGAAAAAAATCCCCAATCGAACTGCTGAACTCAGAATCCTAATCAAGAAAAGACAGAAGACAGAACAAGCCAATCAACCACCTCAGCTGTATTTTGGTAGCAAAATACTGGGCAAACGGAGACTCTATGATGGACTATGTCAATCAGTGGATTCTTCACGACCTCATCGTGCTTGGAGTGGCGAGACTGGCAGCGATTCATAACTGGTGAACTGCCAAAACCACTTGAGCAAGAATCTCGGCGCATGCCCCACATCAGGGACCTGGGGTGGGTGGGAAACTGAGTGGGGCTTCTACCTCACTATCCCCCTTTACCTAAGATACATGAAGGAAACACTGCGGAAATAATAGTCTTACCCACTTTCCTATAGCCCTTGAACCTTTTTTTTTTTTTACCTCAATTAACTATGTAAAGATTGTCAAAAATAAAATAAAATTTAAAAAATCAACTATCTTGAAAATTTTACAAATTAAAGATACTTGGGATAGTCTTTAATTTATAATGTTTTAAATTTTATTTATTCACAAGGGAGAGACCATGCACATGCATGAACCAGAGCTGGAGCTACTAAAACTAGGAAACCAGAGCAAAATCTTAACTCCTATGTGGATGGCAGGGAGCCAGTCACTTAACATCACCTGCTAAGCTCAGAGGTTTCAGCCTGGTACACAGGAGGCACTCAAGGCATGCTAAACCACAATTTTAACCATAAAGTTTGGTTTAAAAAACTAGAGGTGTCCCTGATTGGCAATAAGTTAGTTGGAAACCAAAAACTCAAATGCAACTTTCTATCTTAAATTTCCCTCTATACAAACTGAATGAGCCTAATTTTTCTTTTCCATTTATAACTGCTATGGCTTTAAGATCTAGCCAAAGACTCTACTTGAGAAATGCTCACTTGTTAATTACATGTTAACATGTAAAAATATCATACTTTCAAGTGTTATCCAAACCTGCATGGCGTAGCCTTCTTACCTCTGCCCTTGCCCCTTGCTGGCTTTACCTGCTAATACTTTCAGTTGCCAAGACTTTTGTGCAGCCAACTGATCTGAGGAACCAGGCAAGGGAGGAAAGCCACCAGGACTCCATTCCATTCTCTGATGCTTTCTCAGGTCAGAGTCAAGATTACCAGCCTTGGCAGGCTGCTCCTCCTGAGAGAAAACTTGTCTTCCTAGCCTGAGCAGAAGGATCTTAGAGAAGGGGTGAGTGCCGGAGCCTGAGTCACATTCCCATCCCATGCCCGGGGTCTGTGGCCGACAGAGAAGGATCGTCACAGGAGACTCTGGCACGTGTACTCCCCAGGAGGGCGGGTCCCCAGAGCGGCCTGGGCGCACTCAGGAGACAGAAGTGCAGGGTGGACAAAGCTGCCAGGCTGTCACACGTAGTTGGGAAGCATAGTGCTTGTTGGCAGCCACCTCCTGCGAACCAGCCTGCTCGAGCTTCACTCTCAAGTCTCAGGCAGGGAGGGTCCTTACAGCCCAGGCACAAGGGAGCCAAGTTATTCTGTCAGCCACCATTGCACCTGAGTTAGAAAGGCAAAGGGTCAGGATCATTCTTTAGGGGATCGGAACAGTTTCATCATAGCCTGAGAAGGTTAGGAGAGTCTGATGGACCAAGTAATAACATACCCTCCATCCTGCTGACTGGAAACGAACAGCTGCCACCTCATGCAAGGCCCCAGATGCAGAGGGACCTGACCCTGCAGCCAGCCAGCTGTTTCACAGTGAAAAGCAGTAAGGAAATGCCACCCACAGACCAGTGCTTGATATTTGGTTTTACTTTATAAAAATACACAACTTAAATACATATGACACTCTGTTTATCAGACATAAACAAGTGGTAGATTTAGCATTTACAGTTATTTCAACAGAAAGCAAATATGTAAATTACCTTGTAAGAGCAAGGACTTGTTTAACACACTGTGCATTCTGCATTCACAGTCGAAGGGGGAAGGGATGCCCAAGCGGTCTGACTTCCCGACAACAGGCACGTCACCTGCAGGGCCTCTATTGCACGGCTTAATATTGCACTGTTTGTCACACACTCATCCCTGGCACAAGTGTAAGCGCTTGTCTTCTCTGGAAATGCTTAATGGAAAAAAACCAATGGAGGAATGTGAGTGCCTGTGCCTATAACTGTGCTACACGTTATGAGTGCAGGCTGTGCTTTACTTTAGGACGCTGCCAGTCCAAGACAGTTAGCACTCTTGGCAGGTAAATCCACTTTCCAGTTTTACAAAAGTGTGAGTGGTCTCAGAGTGAGCTTGGGGGGTGCAGGGGTGGAGGAAGTCCTACTTCTGGATGAAGGGCACTGTCCTTGTCACAAGACCATGTGTGCACGGCTCCCTGTGACCCTCTCCCCTTTGCTGCCTGGAGCCCACAAGCACTCCCCAGTTTTGGCATTGTCCCGTGAGGACCAGCTCCTTTTTGAGCCATTCCGAGCTTGTGGTGGCTGCAGACCATGACTCAGGAACACAGCTGCCTCCTCCTTGGCTCATTTAGCGGACAGTAAACTGGGTACTGGCTGTTAGGCATACAGAAACACAGCCAGCTGAGAATTCAGTATATGAGAGCATACGAGAGTTAAGTTTCCTGAGGTCAACATAAGACTTTAAAAATGGCGTGCAATCTGCAGAATTATGGCGATTCATCATGGATCAGAACGTAGCGACCCTTCGAGTCGGGACTTGTAAGTGCACAGGCTCACCAAGCCAGGGGCACATTTACATGAAGAAACACAATGACAAGCTAAAGTAAGAGATGCTGACACTTCGGACTATCAAGTCAAAAAGGCACACAAAGGAAAGAGAAGCAGAGGAGGGTGTGTTTTAAAGTGCTTCGATGGGCTAGGACAGCAGTGCGAAATGTCTCCAGGATTTCCAAGTTAAAAACCTGCCACTTCCTGTTATCTAGGAATATAGAAGACATGGCTTTTTTTTTTAATAACTGCTGTTCAATTTTTTTCTTTTTAAAACCCAGATTCTTTATATAAAAGTTGTTTCAGTCATTGGAATTATTCTGTTAGTTGATTCTCTCACTGATGTGCTTTGAAACCCCAATTGACAGAAGACTTTTCAATCAGGTTAAACCACATTGCACAGGGCTGCACCAAGAATTGAAGTAAATGCATATTAACTTCTGCATGAAGTCATGCCTTGTTATTTCTTAATATTATGCTTAAAGATTATAGGCCCCTGCAGTTTCCCTTTCTAACTTTATTCTCATGTACCATAGAGCGGAGGCTGTATGCAGCCGTCCTTATGGTGATAACAGGTCTGAGTCCCAGGGCCTAAGATGCAGGCAGCGGAGAGCGGGCAGCAGGCACCCCGAGGATGTGAGCAGATACCCGGGAGAGTCGCTGCTCTCGCTGCCCTGGTCACCAGGAGCAAAGGAGGTGACTGGTCAGTAGCTGGGGCTTCAAAAGGGTCACACACAGGGGGATTCATACAGTTTCGTGACCTTTTTGAGACCTCCTTATATTGAGGGGCAGCATGAGAACTGGCACCAGCTTTTACAGAAGTCCCCACTGCCCGCAATCATTCACTCATATGGCTCTGATCGGCCCTGGGACAGATCCCGAGCTGAAGTGTGCCAGGTATTCTGACAACTGTGAGCAAAATTTATGATTCGGGACTAGAGTCCTGCAGTCTCACAAACTAGTTTCCAGGCCAGAGGGCAAGTCTCCCAAGAAACCACAGGTCAAGTCTCCAATTGTTAAAGAAAAGCATTTTGGTTTCACTAAGATGAAAGATCTTCCTCAGAGAAACACCCTGCTTCCGGGGCATCCAACCCCAGCCATTCAGGGTGCAGCTGCTCTGGGAGAGGTGAAGATGCCCCGGGGCCACCATGGGCTTGAAGTCTCAGGAGGCAGCTTGTCAGCTGAGGCAGTCAGGAGCATCCCACGTGGAGATCAGGGTACATAAAATCACTGCACAGAAACATTTAAAGTACTTCTGGGCCCCAATTAGTGCAATGTGGTTACAGCCAAACAGAGGTCACCTACCAAGAACAGTGTTGTAAGAAGGCAGACCGCCCAGTGGAAGCTGCAAGACAAGGCCTGAGCCTCACTAGTCACCCATCCTCATAGGCCCAGGAAGAGCCTGGGGCAAGACACTGTGCTTTTCCGCAGACTCCCCTCGGCAACGTCTGTGGTCTGAGAGCGTTCCTCAGCAGCAACTGGAGCCCAGAAAACACAAGAACTTCCTCTCCACTCTCTATCATCTTCCCTACCACCCACCACCCACAGCACACTTGTCTCTGGCCAACTGGGCCCAGGTCAAGGCTTGGAAAGGATGATAAAGGAGACTGTGGCAAGGAACTACAGACTCAAGGACACAGACAGGACAGCACGGGGGGCACGGGGGGGGGGGGGGCAACACAGTGAGAAGGGAGAGAGAGACAAACCAGAAACCAGGAAGTTAAAGGAGTTAAAGGAGTGGTCACTGGCGGGGCACCCCTGCCTTCCCCCGAGCAGTGGCAAATGCTGCAGAATAAAGGACAAGCTGGGTCAGTGCAGCACCCACAGTCCGCACCCATAGCCTGCACTAGATGGGCTTCTCCCAACATCTCCAGCTTTGACCTGCAGGGACGCCTGCCCTGGAACCGCCATTCACTCACTCTCAGGAATGGCTTGCCTCCCTCCTGGTGGTCACAGGGGACAGCTGGGATGGTTCTGGTCACTTGACAAGCCTCCCCAGGAATGCAAGCATGGGGTGGAGCTTGCCAATTACAGACTGATGATAAAATCTCACCTAAGGAACTCACAGTGACAGGAGCAGCTGCCTTGCAAGACCGCACCGACCTCCCCCACCCAGGGCTCTGCTGGTTCTGGCCGTCTCCATCCTGGTGGGGTGGGAGTGGGATTGGGGGAGTGATAAACTCAGAGGAAAAGTGAAAAGGCCCCATCCTCCTCCCTCCCACAGGGACCCCTGCTAGAATCCCAGAGGCTACAGGTGCCAAAGGAAGTCACACTAACTGGAAAGATGCCAGGGCACAGGTGAGTGATGCTTGGTCCTCTGGGCCTCAAAGAGTCACATGCCACTCCGTAAAATGTCTATGAAGGGCACTGTGCGCTCAGTGCCTAGTGTACGAATGGCTGGCAGGAGGGCATCTAGGTTTGCACCTGGGGCCCAGCCTGGCAGTGCCCCCGCCTGCTACTTGATGTTCTTCAGCAAGGCGGTACGGGCATTCACTACAGCCTTGAAGGCATCTTCACTGCCGGGTGCCACGCACTTGTCAGGATGCAGCAGTACAGCCAGCTTCCGGTATGCCTTGTTGACTTCATCCCTGTGGAGACAGTCATGCTTGTTAGTAGGGGTCCAGCCCTGCACAGGGCCCTAAGGACACACTCAGCACCCTACCCCGCCCTCCATCCCCGTCACCGAGTTAGGCCCTTTTCTCACTGGCAGGGCTACAAGACTGGGAGACGAAGCACAGACAATTAGCAATGTACTATACAAGCAGAAAAAGTAATCCGATGAGAGTGGGCACAGAACCATCACGGAAACGCTCGTGAGACCAACCAGGTGAAACGCTGTGCTTGTACGGCACAGGCATTCAGCACGCCTCGGCCTGGGGCTTGTGGAGGCGCCCTGGAGGATGATTCAGAGGGGTGGGCTCAGGGCTGGGGGAAGACTGCTTGAGGCCCGGGGAACATGTATGGCCTGTGTTCCCATAAGGTGAGTGCTGAAAGAAACAGAAAGAAAGCCAGCCAGGGAGGGGGCAAGCCCTCATCACACTGGTGTGGAAGTGTGGAGTTGGGCAGGAGGCTGTTACACTAGCCTTGGTTGGTGCAAAGGAACTTGAATAAAGGTGTTCATGGGAAGATAAGAAGAGGGATGGGAGGATGAGGGGCCCGAGAGCCACCAAGTGGAGGGGGAAAAAAGAAGTTGAAACAAGGACTCTGAGGCCAGGGAAGATGCTGGCATCACTGACCAGCAAGGGACACTGGGAAGGGTCACATTCAGAGAGCTCGCAGAGTCCAAAGAAGACCGGACAGCAGAATCAAGGACACGTCAGGAGTGAAGGAGCAGTCATGGGGCTTCTCTGGAGAGGCCATAGTTGCAAACCAGCTGCACCCTGTGACAGCTCCAGGCTCAGAGCTTCTCCTAAAGCAGGACCTCAAGGAGGGGCTTGAGGCCACCCCTCCTCTTCCTCAGTTCCCAGGCCTAGCCAATACCATGGCAGGATTGAGCTTAACTACCAGCTGCTCTTACTCCCCTTCCTTTTGTAATTCAGGATTAGCCAGCATCTTACACACATGCCCACAGTGTTCTGCCAAACGCCCTAGTCCCCAGCTCTGCTGCCTGATGGCTTACCACAAGGTTGCAGACTTGGTTCTCCAAACGAAGGAGGAAGGCCTGGGCACTTGGTATGTGATGGAAAGTTCTATGGGTGAGGATCAGAAGAGTTTTCCCTGTCTTAGGCACAAATTCTGAAACTTTCTATACTTTATCTGCTTAGAAGTATCCTGAATTTTCTTCTTTTAACCTAGCATATAGGGAGATATTTACAACCTTTCCCATCCCTACCTTTAAAATAAATAATTTAACACAAGTTTTAAAGGGGGTGGGTGTTTGGCACAGTGCTTAAGACATTGTGGGGACAACCACATCCCTCCCACACTGGAATGCCTAGTGGTTCAAGTGCCAGCTCTGCTCTCCATGCCAACTTACAGCAAATGCACACCTTGGGAGGCAGTAGGTGCTGGCTCAAGCACCCATCTGAAAGACTCAGACTGAGATCCTGGCCCTGGCTTTGGCCTGGCTCAGCCCCAGGTGTTACGGGCATTTAAGGAATCAATCAATGGATGAAAGATATGTTATTCTTTTAAAAAAAATAAAAATAAAATCTAACTATGCATGTAGTTTTCTTATATTTAAGATTTTTCACATAGATAATAAGAATATCCTTGTTTGAAAATGCTTGAATTGCTAGGCTTTTTATTTCTCCAAGAGACCCTGTACCCCTGAGCTGGGTGTAGTACCCTGTCTCTTTTCCCTCCAGCCACTCTGCTTCCTGAAGGAGCCCTCTCCACTTTCTGCTTACTTAGCCTGGTTCTCTGCCCCAAGTGTCTGTCAGATTTTCTAAAGAACAGCAGAGACTCTCAGGGAAAGCTGGGGGAACATGACTGATTCAGCTAAAAATTAATCTGTCAATTCTGCATGATGAAGATTTTCTGAAAGTATGACTATCAACACAGATGTAGTGAACAAATATCAAAACACAGGCTCGATGCGGTAGCCTAGTGGCTCAAGTCTTTGCCTTGCATGTGCCAGGTCCCCATAGGGGCACGGGTCATGTTCCAGCTACTCCACTTCCCATCCAGCTCCCTGCTTGTGGCCTGGGGAAGCAGTACGGGATGACCCAAAGCCTTGGGACCCTGCACCTTTGTGGGTGGCCTAGAATTAACTCCTGGATCCTGGCTTCAGATCGGCTCAGCACCAGCCACTGTAGCTACTTGAGGTGTGAATCAGAGGACAGAGGACCTTTGTCTGTCTTTCTCTCTGTAAATCTGCCTTTCCAATAAAAAGAAATAAAACCTTTAAAAATATATATCAAAACACTCTACAGCTTAAGAAAAAAAGTGTTTTAAAGATTTTTTTCCCCAGTGTACTCAATGGCACACAAAATTAAGGTGACAAACGTTGTGTACCAAGAATACAGAATATACAAGCATCCTGTAAGACCTGGAAGCTTTTAATGAACCAAAAGAAATAAACAAAGACCTGAGTTTTTTTTTCCTTAATAAGTGTTATTTTAAAATCACTAACAAGTAAATCAAAGTATAGTTTTTTTAATTTTAGAGCCAGAAGAATTTAGAATGGGATTGTGAAGGGCTGTAAGGACATTTAAGGCGCCAGGACACTACGTGCTGGATCCAGACCAGGTCATATGCATCCTGAAACATGCTTAAAGCAGCCTCAACATGCCTGGCAAGCTTAAGGGGCCTAACAGCCTCTCCTCTTTCCTTCTGGACTTGGAGACATGCTACAAGACCAAATATAGAAGCCATACGGAAAGTTTTTGGTGCTAACCAGGCAATTTCAAGACACCCTTTTTTTTCTGTGTGGGAATCAAGGTAAACAAGTAAGAAGGGAGAAACATGGGAGGAGAGTTACAATGCAAAGTAAGATTCTGAAATTATAGCATGTACAACAACAGTAGTAGTATATCTTAAGTTCGATTACCATGCTGAATAACTTATTTTAATGCAAGTGATTAAAGTGAAATAATTTAACCTAAACACACACACACACACACACACACACACACACACACACACAGATGAATAACATTTGGTAAGAATGACAGACTGGGGTACAAATTAACAAATACACAATGACCCAGGGTCAAGAACCAGTTCCACCACTGACTCTGGGGCCCATGAATCCAGTTAACCTCACTAGGTTCCAGTGAAATGTTTGACAAGTTGGCCATTAACATACTTTCCTCCTCTAAAATTCTAGAATCCCTTTTTGTAGGTTTTTGCAAAGATGACAATTAGCTTTAAAGCTCTTGTTCAGAGCATGTCACTGTACAAAGTGTTTATGCAGATCATGACAGAATTCTCTTAGCAGGAAGTTGAATCCTCTATTTTGCTATACAGTTAGTGCAAAGAGACAGAATCATTAATTCAATGTGTTTCTGTGCATATTTGTATTTCTAGCTTGCACCTGCAACTTTGGGGCCTAATTTTTTCTCTCCAATGGAATCGGGCACAGCCCAGTGCACGGCTTACCTTGAGGCCCCAGGCTTGACACCCAGCATGTCCCAACTGTCTTTACTGGTTCGGATTCTGCGAATGGTGTCTGCTTGCTCTTTGGTGAAACTAGCACTGCTGTTTGTGGCAGGCCGCTTTCCGCCATTCTCACATAAATCAACAATGGATACGTAGAAGGTCTGCAAGAACCAAACACATCCAAGAGTAGAACCGATCCTATGGAAACAGGAACTCCTTTAAAACATCGGGCCTTCTGATTGCACTCCAGTCATTCTTTGAAGTAATGAATAACGTAAATATGTAATTGGGAAAGTTTTGCTTTTTCTATTATTTAAATATTTATATATCTTAATATAGAGAAAGTACAAGAAGTATAAATAAAAATAATCTTACTCTCAAGTAATCACATTTGAGGTTAAAAAGAGACCAACACTGTAAGAAACAGTGCAACAGTAAACCAATGTGAAGATCGCACCCCCATACTCCTTAAGGTGATCACTGATGTATTCTTCTGAATATTCTTCCAGAAAAATCATGCTTTCTAAACATTTACACACAAGAGATAAGGTTAAATACACGGTAAGGTACCTTACACATCTATGAACACATTTTGGAATCGTTCAATAGCTATACATAAAGATCTTCTTGGTTCTTTTTAGGGACCAAAAGTTCAGTACTATGTGGCTGCACTACAATTGATATACCCAACTCTCTATTCTTCTTCTTCTTTTTTTAAAAGATTTATTTATTTTTATGGGAAAGGCCGATACACAGAGAGGAAAGACAGAGAGGAAGATCTTCCGTCCGATGGTTCACTCCCCAAGCAGCCACAATGGCCAGAGCTGAGCCAATCTGAAGCCAGGAGCCAGGAGCTAGGAGCTCCCCTGGGTCTCCCATGCGGGTGAGGGGTCCCAAGGCCCTGGGCCATCCTCAACTGCTTTCCCAGGCTACAAGCAGGGAGTCAGATGGGAAACGGGGCTGCCGGGATGAGAACCAGCGCCAATATGGGATCCCGGTGTGTGCAAGGCAAGGACTTTAAGTACTTTGCTATCGCGCTGGGCCCCAACTCTCTATTCTTGACAAGTCAGTTGTTTCTTATTTTTGTTTTGTTTTGTTTTTGTTATGACTAGCAATGCTTCAGTAAACATTTGTGTGTATGTGTGTCTACACACTTGTGGGGATACTGCTTTTAGGACAAATTCCTAACAGAAGAACTTTGAGTAGCAATGTAAGTGCACTGTAATTTTTGACAGCTGTCAACTGGAAAAGCAGTATCTCTGCATGCCCCGTCGCTGTGTGGGACAGCACCCACTCCGTGCACCCCTGCAGCCCACGTGGCATCACACACGTGAATTCTTGCCAGTTTTGATTTACATTTCTTTAATGCTAATGAAAGTGAGTATCTTTTCATATGCTTACAGCCCTTCCTTTTTCTGCAAACTTCATATCCTTTGTGCATTTTTATGATTTCTTGGTAAAGTAAAAAATTATTTTTGGCTTTTACACATTTCATGTTCTTTTTATGGGAATAACTTGACTCAAAATACTATTCACTACAGCTGCTTTTAAACTGCCACATCTCTTCCCTCAGTTTCTTTTTAAGCCTCTTCCTCTTGTTTCTATGGTTCCCATTACCTTCTAAAAATGTTCCTTTTTTAGACTTCTCTTTCTTATCTCTAGCAAAAGCTAATCAGCTTGGTAACCCACCAAGAAGCCTTGGTATATGAGAAGAGGTGTCAAAAGATAAGCTCCTGGAAACCAAGACAAAAGAAGAGTTCACTTGGTTTCAGTCCGTTTGAGGATTAAGCCCTCTGTTAACAATGTCAGATAAAAGCTCTTTCCTGGAGTAAAGTGTCTTTTAAGTAGATGGGAAACAAACAAATATTTACTTAATTGAAGTAGCAGGAAAGTACTACTTTTTAAGTACTCACCTACAGGATGGTGCTGCTATATTTGGTCAGTCTTTTTATTTTAGCCTTACTCAAGATGAATGTAAAAAGATAAACCTCATTCAAAAGGGATCACAGTTCACAAATATGGAATGCTCAGTAAGGATTGCATCTAGCCTCGGATCTCATCTGCAATAGATTCCCAAGGACACAAGGATTTACTCATAGTACACATGGTTATAGAGAGGGAAGCTAAGGAATGATACAAACAACACTAGGACTGAAGTCCCAAGTAAATTTCCTATCTCATTTTCAGCTGTAACAAAGTAATAAGCACAAGGCTAGATTCCTTGCCATAAATGACAATAAAAGAGGACATACACATGAGATAATTATTTTCAAGCATAGACAACAGCAACCTGAGATAAGCCCCCAAACCACATGGCTCCTTAACTGAATTCCACTTCCTGAGCATGTCACAGACAGTAATGTTGTGAGTGAACAGTTCCACTCAGCTAAGAAGGAAGCCGGCAGAGACCAGAGCATGAGACTGCCTGAGTGGCCACAATCTTCAGACTGGGAAGTGGAGAAGATGAGGCTTTGCAGAGTTGGGCCCAAAGTCCATATTGGAGATCTCCCTAAGTGTACAGCAGGAGGTTAGGCTACACATACAAGCACCTGCAGCTCACCAGGCAATTAACAGATGCCGTGAGATTCGGACCAGTGTGTGTGTGTGTGTGTGTGTGTGTGTGTGTGTGTGTGTGTGTAATTTATTTTTTATTGGAAAGGTAGATTTACAGAGAGAAGGAGAGATAGAAATGATCTTCCATCGACTGGTTCACTCCCCAAGTGGATTCAATGGCCTGAGCTGAGTCAATCCACAGCCAGGAGCCAGGAGCTTCTTCCAGGTCTCCCAGGTGGGTGCAGTAGCTGAAGCCTTTGGGCCATCCTTGACTGCTTTTCCAGGCCACAAGCAGGGAGCTGCATGGGAGAGGGAGCAGCCAGGACACAAGCTAGTGCCCAAATGGGATCCTAGTGTGTGCAAGGCGAGGATTTAGCCACTGAGCCATTGCAACGGGCCCAACAAAGTCAATATTCAGAGGTCCAGTGGGCCTGGGACAGAGCTGTCCTGGGGACACAAGAATTTCAACCTTGCCACAGTGAAGACATTGCCTTTGACTTCATTAACACCCCTAGCAGCTCCACGTCCCTTACGAGACAGACTCATACTATCAAAAATCCAAAAACAAGAACTGACAAGATATGTTAAAGGGATAGAATTTGCAAGTTGAGTCCTGCCAAGTTAGAAAGACTTTGAAAATACTTTGGGCTTCCTTCAGATCCTTGTTACTAAAAGAAGAAACCAAGCCTACAGAAATTAATTGTATCTCCCATTAATGTGGTTGCCTCCTTAAACAAGAATTCTCAGTCTTGAGGAAGGCACCATGGTGTAGGAGGTTAAGCTGCTGCTTGGGATGCCAGAATATTAGAGTGCTGGTTTGAGTCCTAGCTCCTCCACTTACAATCCAACCGCTTGCTAATGCACCTGAGAAGGCCTGCAGGTGATGGCCCAAGCATCTGGGTCCTTGCCAACCATGTGGGAAACTTATGTAGAATCTGTGCTTTCTGCCTTCAGCCTGGGAGTCCGTCCTGGTTGCGGTAGAAATTAGGGGAGTAAACTAGCAGATGGAAGACATCTCATTCTCTGTGTCATTTTGCCTTTCCAATAAGATAGTAAGGAAATAAATTACTAAAAAAAAAAAAAATCCCCCCCCCAAAAACAAAAAAAACAAAAAACAAAAAAACCCGCCACCACCACCAACAAAAAAAACCAAAAAACTCACAAACCCCATATTCTTCTGGTAAAGATAAAAGAATCCAGAATCTCTATAATGTATCCATAATGTCTGGACAGCCAAAAATATCATTACTCAAACAAAGAGACAAGAAAATTGACTTGGGCCTAGCATGATGGCTCAATAATTAGCTTGCTTGTCTTGTAAGAACCAGGATCTCATATGGGCACTGGTTCATATCCCAGTTGCTCCAATTTTCATCCAGCTCCCTGCTTGTGGCCTGGGAAAGCAGTTGGGAAAAGCCCAAAGCTCTGGGATCCTGCACCCACATGGGAGACTAAAAAGCTCCTGGCTCCTGGCTTCGGATCAGTGCACTCTAGCCATGGCAGCCATTTGAGGTGTGAACCAGCAGACAGAAGATCTTTCTGTCTGCCTCTCCTCTCTGTAAATCTGCCTTTCCAACAAAAATAAATATTTAAAAAAGAAAATACAACTCACAGAAGGAGAAAAAGTAGTCAACAGAAACTGAATCCAAGAGGTATAGGAAAACACTGTCCAAAGAATTAAAATGAAATACACTCATAATGAGTCAACAGGTAGAGCATCTCAGCAGAGTTGGGAACTTTACAGAAGAACCAAAGGCAAGTGCCAGAACTAAAAAATCACTGGAAATTTCACTGGTGGGTTTAACAGCAGACTGTCAGTGAACTTTAGAAACCAATAGAAATTATGTAATTTGAAAGGTGGAGAGGAAGGAAGGCGAGGAAAGAAGGAAGCAGGAAAAGAGAATAGAGCCAAGAAAAGTATTAGTAAAAATACAAAAAACAAAAAACAGTAGTAAATAGAAAATCGCCCACCTACCAATCTAAGAAACTCAACAAATCCCAAACAGGACTTACATGAGCAGAAGCCCACTTACCAATCAGAGTCCAACTGCTGAAAACTAAAAACAAAGAGAAACGCTTGAAAGCAGTTAGAAAAGGCTCATTCCATAGAAAGAGGAAGAACAGGTGCTCGCTCACAACTCATGTGACACAGCATCAGCCAGAAGAGAAGGGGCCAACATCTTTTTTTAAAGATTTATTTATTCTTATTGCAAAGTCAGCTATACAGAGAGGAGGAGAAACAGAGAGAAAGATCTTCCGTCTGATGATTCACTCCCCAAGTGACCTCAATGGCCAAAGGTGAGCCAATCTGAAGCTAGAAGCTAGGAGCTTCTTCCAGGTCTCCCACGCAGGTGCAGGGTCCCAAGGCTTTGGGCCGTCCCTGACAGCTTTCCCAGGCCACAAGCAGGGAGCTGGATGGGAAGTGGAGCTGCCGGGATTAGAACTGGTGCCCATATGGGATCCTGGGCATATTCAAGGCGAGGACTTTAGCTGCTAGGCCACCCAGCACCAGGCCTGGGGTCAACATTTTTTTTTTTTTAAATGCTGAAAGAAGATGAACCCCTGGCAGCCAGCACTGATACCTCTGGACAAGGCACTTGGCTACTCTTAGATATTCCTTTATATGAAACGAGAATATCTGCCACATACTGTTGTGATGAGTCAAAGATGAAACATGTAACTTTCTCCAGAACTGTAGACTGCTACCCAACTGGCAAAGACCCGTGATTGCTCACACGGGCCTGTGGCCGCAGCAGAGCGAGGAGTACCAGGCAACCTCAACCTTTTCTGATCCTGGACGACAGCGGCTGATGCCTAGTTCAGCCTGTCAGTCGAGGATGACACCTGTTTCGCTGTAGAGGAGTGACACCTTATGAGAAGGAAATTCAGCACAAAAGATGAAATATTATCCTACTCAGTAATTAAGAACAACTCTTTCTAGTATAAGCTACACTACTAGAAATGCTAAAAATTCCCAAAATATCAGACATAGTCATAGGAGGCATACATTATTCATGCTACCCTTACTTCCCAATGCACCTATAATTAAAAAGTTAACTTTATAACTCACTGTTTAAGTAGCTTTCTTCTCTCAAAATGAGAAAGTTTTAAGAAGTAACCTTTTATTCAGGGTGCTATCTGAGCACATCTTCTTCCCACCTATTTGGCTGGAGAGTCCTTATTTTTATGTGAATAGTTGCATTCTGTTCTCTAAATGCACCCCTGTGGGCTACAAGGTAGGATTGGCTTAGCTGTGGCAAGGCAATTTTGCCACAGTGACGCTTTCATCTGACTACACATACAGATATAACACCATTAACCAAAGGCCATTAGGAAGAAAAATCCTGGTTCCATTTACACCGTTCAGTGGCTGATCATCAGAATCACTGGGGGAGCTTTTTCAAAATACAGAACATTAAGACTGGAAATCTGTATTTTGAAGAATTTCCCCAGATACTTGTAATGATCAGGCAGGTCTGGTTTAAGATAGACAGCACACAGATCATTCTTCAGGTGTTTGCATTTGCATGCTCTCTCTCTCATCAGCCTTTTTGTAGAGAAAGAAGCTATTCTAATGTGAAATTTGTATTATATTTTGTTTCCAATAATTTGAAACTAAAAGTTGGCATGGTTGGCCTGGAAACCTTCAAACCTTCGAACAGCAAGATGCTTAGCTACCTGGAACATCTCATGGATTCCTTCCCCGGTTTGTGCCGAAGTTTCGAAGTACAGGAACCCTTTGCTCTCCGCCCACAGGCGCCCTTCACTTTCATCTACACAGCGGTGCTTGGCACAGTCGATCTGAAACAGAGAACAGACGACAGACAGAAGAGTCCAGCCTCGTCCCCCACCATGGCCCAGTGAGGTCTTGGTCATGGACACAACTATCCTCAATGGACCACAGCGCTAGTGCGTAAGACTACCAGGATCAAAAAGGATATCAAAGATTGGATACAAATGACTAACTACAGACTGACTTTTGGGGGAAACATGGCTTTGCCTGGGGTGATGCACTTTCTACTTTCTCTCTTGGGAAACAGCTGCCATTCACCCTGGGAGAGGTGACTTCTAACACCAGACGCCGTGTTTTTCACATTCCCCACATGCCTCCCCTCGTCAGGTGGCAAAGTGATTATTGGGCTCCATCTCCCCGGCTCAGTCACCAACATCGCTCCCCAAGTATGGCACCAGAAAATTACAACAGGACATAAATCTTGATAAACCAGCTTTTTGGTTCATCTTAGGAATAAAAGACAGCTGATTTTTCTTTCACAGAATAATACATCTTTTTTTTTTTTTTAATCTGTTCCCCTGCACTCAGAGGTGTGGTCTTCCCTCAGAATAGGACATATCACTGTTGAAGTGGTTACCTTGTTGGCGCACACTACAAATATGATATTCTCCATGTTTCCATGAGGCCCAAGCTCCTGCTTCATTTCTGCCAGCCACGCATCAAGGGCATCGAAGGAATCTTTCTGTCCAACGTCATAGACCAGGATCACACCCTGCGTGTCCTTGTAAAACTCATTCCGAACCTTCAGACAAGAGGACAGACGCACGAGATGTAGATTGTGTGGTTTTCTACGAATGGGCCTCCCAGTTAACCAGCTTCACAAAGCTACTCTTTGCTAAGAACATTACAGTATTTGCTGTATCTCAGTGTCTACTGTTCTCTGGGGGACTTTAAATAAAATGACTAACCTTATAAAAAAAATCTATTAGAATGAGAGGACTTAAGGCTGGAAACAAGGACCTCCTCTCCCACCCTTTCTCACTTCCAGTTCCACTGCTGAAGTGCAATAAATCTTGGACTGCTGTTGGGGATTGTCAAAGAACAATTGCATGAAGTTCTTCTTGGGAGGAAGTAACAAGGTGAGAGAACAAGCAGAAAGAACTGACAGCAAAAATGGCATACGTGGCAGTAGCGGGTGCAGGCACTCACACACAAACACTGCACCAGGACACAGCTTGCTGTGCATGACATGACCAACATGACCAACTCAACACTGAGCACCTCAGCAAAATGGAGCGTAAATGCGCATGCACCCCAGGGTAACACGGATGTGGGCTCAGACCTGCTAGTCACGTGAGCGGGTCCAAATTAGTGCACTTTCTGCATCTCAGTCTCCCCACCTGGAAGGTGGGGATAACACAGCTCCCCTCTCAGAGTCACCAAGAGGGGACTGAGCAGAGTAAGGAAGGCAGAGCACTTAGCAGGCTGCCTGGGAACACTCCCCCTCTCTCCTGCATTCACTCTTGGGCTGCTGTTGCTGTTTCTCTAGAAATGACTCCTCCATGAGGACAATCCACAGTTCCAGGGTGAGGTGCCCATGAAGCACAGGGCACGCTAAAGCAGCAGAAGCCACAGGAGGCTGGGGTGGAAGAGGGTGAAGAACAGCACTGATAGGTGCGGAATAGGGGTGTGCCCACCGATTACCTGTCTTTTAGAAACAATTTCCAGCATCCGCTCAGACAGTGGGGGCTACCATGCGCAGGTGCCTTCCTAAACACATTAGGCAGGGGTTTCTGAGCATGGGCAGATAGCCGGACCAAGAATGCAGCTAACAGAAGCCTAAGAAGCTGCTCCCTACCATGAAAACCAGCACCACCAGAAAGGCCTTCCACAGAGAAGGGCCTGCAGCGCCGCCCCTTAGCATGCACCCTCCTTCCCTCAGCCCTCAGCCACACATAACAGGCCGCATCCTTCTTCCTGGAGGTTCGGCCGCCTGGGCTCCCACACACCACATCCTCTGGGTTCTTCAATTCTCCCTCTTTTATCGGCTCCCCTTCTCTTCATGGCTTTCACTCCAGCTCACTGTCCAAATCCCCCAAATCCTGCCCTGAGCCCTCTTCTTTGTTTTTGAACTCTACCTTTAAGCTCAGCAACATCAACCACTTGCACAGCTCCAACTGCGAGACTCTCCATGGCGAGTTCTCTTACTTGTGCTTCCACACCTGCCTTCCTAGTCATCCATGGCCTCTTGGCAGCGGCATTCCCTGTTGGAATCTCACATCCATTCCACACAACGAAAGCCCTCGGACCTCCACTGTATGAAACGCCTCCTGCTCTTGAACTTGGGTGAGGAGTTCATCATTCTGAGTCACTTGGCCTTGGAGTCCACAGTGACATTTCCTGCTTTTCTGTGTTTTACAAGATCCAAACACTCTTAGTGAAGCCACCTCTGGCACACTTTGTGCATTGGCCACTTCCTTTCCATTTACATTTCCAGAAGTATCTTTTGTCTGCCCTGTTGCCAAGAAACTTCTAAGTCACTGTCCTAGGAAGACTATAAACCAAGTATAATTCTTTTTTTTTTTAAAGATTTATTTTTATTATTTTTTTATTGGAAAGGCAGATATACAGACAGGAGAGACAGAGAGGAAGGTCTTCCATCCGATGATTCACTCCCCAAGTGAGTGCTACGGCCGATGCTATGCCGATCCAAAGCCAGGAGCCAGGAACTTTTCTGGGTCTCCCACACAGGTGCAGGGTCCCAAAGCTTTGGGCCGTCCTCGACAGCTTTCCCGGGCCACAGGCAGGGAGCTGGAAGGGAAGCAGGGCTGCCGGGATTAGAACCAGCACCCATATGGAATCCCGGGCGTGCAAGGCGAGGACCTTAACCACTGTGCCACCGCGCCGGGCCCAGTATAATTCTTTATAAAGTATAATTCTTTATAAAAATCTGATTGAGATTTTTTTTTAGTGGGACTTGGTGTGATAGCTTAGTGGCTGAATCCTCACCTTGCATCTGTTGGGATGTCATATGGGCATTGGTTTGTCTCCTAGCTGCTCCCCTTCCCATCCAGCTCCCTGCTTGTGGACTTAGAAAGCAATGGAACATGGTCCAAGGCCTTGGTACCCTGCACCCACGTGAGAGACCAGGAAGAAGCTCCTGGCTCCTGGCTTCAGACTGGCTAGGCTCTGGTCATTGTGGCCACTGGGGGAATGAACCAGCAGGTGTAAAATCTTTCTCTCTGTCTCCTCTCAGTATAACTACCTTTGCATCAACAATAACAACAACAAAATCTTCAAAAAAATTTTTTTCAGTATTTTCCCACTGCCAACCCTCCCAAGTTCAAACTCTTTAAGATGAAGTTTGAAGTTTCTCAGCAGTGCTTCCCCAGCCTTCCCGGTGTTATCCTCTTCCTATGACCTTCAAACAGGACAAGCTCTCATCCTCCAGACCTGCCCCATGCTTCCTAACAGCATCTGGGAATAGACTCCTCTGTCTGGCTAACTATTCAAGGGCCAGTCAAAATGTTGTCTTGTGTGGGGCTTTTCTGCCCTATCCCCACCATCTAACTAACCTCCTATTTCCATCAAGCACTATGTAACTCTGAAAGACCATAGCCATTTGTACTTGTAACAGTGCTCCCACCACTTCCAGCCTGGTCCACAGCAGCACCTCCAGCTGTATTCCCATTAGCCTACTGGCAACATGAAAGGATGTATCTTGGTTCATCCATCCTGTCATCCACAGGGTCTTGACAATACAAGTGTCTGAGACACTGTTCAATCAAATGGTTGAACATGCCACAGCCGAGAACAAATGTAAAGGCCAAAGCATGAGATAAAGAACTGCAAAATCTGTGTCCCATTCCCCAGGGGAAATCTGTGTGTAAATCCAAACGTTAGCAAGCTCAATGGCTTTCTCTTTCAAGGGACTCAAGTTCAAATCTGGGTTTACCTATAGAAGCTTGGACCTTGGTCTCCTCTTCTACAACATGAAAAGGTCAAAGAGAACAGCTCACTGATCCTTTAAAGCCCTGTTATTCTAGTTCCCCAAAAGAGCTTTCTGACACAGTCCTGGTGGACCTGCCATGTCCAACGTCTCACTAAATAGGATACTAAAAGGATAAGAATTGGTTTTTTTTTTCCCTTAAAATGTATTTGGTTTTGTTAGAAAGGCAGATTTACAGAGAGACAGATCCACTTGTTCACTCCCCAAATGGCCACAATGCCAGGAGCTGACCTGATCAGACACCAGCAGCCTCTTCTGGGTCTCCCACATGGGTGTGCAGGGTCCCAAGGACTCTGGCCATCCTCTATTGCTTTCCCAGGACACAATTAGGGAGCTGGATGGGGAATTAAGTAACTGGGACACAAACTAGTGCCCAAATGGGATGCTGCCACTCGGAGGTGAAGGCTTAGCCAGCTGAGCCATTGCAATGGCCCCAAGATTATTTCTCAACACAAACTAGCTAATAGGATAGTTGTTAGTTACACATGACTGAGGCCTCTGGAAGTTTCTATGAGACTCACTAGCACAGACATCACTGGGTGCCCCTGTGGAAGCAAGGCTAGTGGTTCAAGGTAAGGCATCTCTCTCTCAGCCCTCCTGATGTTTGCTCCAGGCTGCTGTCTCATGCACTCAGCACTGTCTCGCCTTTGCAGAGCACTGGTGACAGGGCCAGGAGTGTGGACAGCACTGTGGGTCTTTTCCAGGTGTATGCTGGGTGGCTGTAGACTTTGCACAGCTTGGAGCTTAGAAACACACTGTGGGCTTTGTTTTGACAAAAAGGAGGGTTTGAGCCACAATTAGTAAATACTTGAAAAAAATAAAGGTCAAGATCATCTCAGGCCCGGCAGGGTGGCCTAGCGGCTAAAGTCCTCACCTTGAACGCCCCAGGATCCCATATGGGCGCCGGTTCTAATCCCGGCAGCTCCACTTCCCATCTAGTTCTCTGCTTGTGGCCTGGAAAAGCAGTCAAGGACAGCCCAAAGCTTTGGGACCCTGCACCCGTGTGGGATACCCAGAGGAAGTTCCTGGATCCCGGCTTCGGATCAGCATAGCATCAGCCGTTGCACTCACTTGGGGAGTGAATCATTGGATGGAAGATCTTTCTCTCTGTCTCTCCTCCTCTCTGTATATCTGACTTTGTAATAAAATAAATAAATCTTTTTTTTAAAAAAAGATCATCTCAATGAAGGGTGATTCAAAAAGAGCTTCTATTAATTATGCTTCTGTTTTTATAAGCTGTTTTAAAACAAAAAAACAAAAACTACTGCAATTGCAGGTTGTCTGAACAGGAGCTTCCTGTGTAATGGGAGACAGTAGCAGAAACATTGCTTCTGACTAGTGAGGAAGAATCTGGAATGTTGAATTCAGTTCTCAACCCCAGACCAGCAACCTAGAAATTGCTCAAAAGGATGCTAACAAGTCTGGCCACGGCAGGAATAGAAAATGCTTTAGAAACACTGGAGAGGCTTCACTGCAGATGCACAGGTTCAGACTACGCTGCTTCCTAAAACAAGGGCAGACCCAGAGGGAACACACAAGGAGTGCAGGCTGCACAGAAGAAGCTGCGAGTGTGGAGGCTGCCCATGCGCCTGCACTGGGCTGATGAGCCCATGACACCACACGAGAGACTCATTCTTTACACTCTCAGTGTGCACCACTAGAACTGCACTGGGTGTCAGGTGGTCCCTGGGTCCCACCAACTCACACACTGGGCCTTCGCTTCTCAGCTCCAGTGCTGCTCCCGGCAGCCTGTCACTGGCTAAAAATGAATCTTTCCAACCACTCTAATATTC